TGTCACACAATTTCCATTACCCTTTCCTTTCTCCCCTCTCCTACTCTAAAGATCTTTTTCTCCCTTCTCACGGTCCCTTTTCTATGTTCATCACACACACACACACACACACACACACACACACACACACACATTTAGATTCCATATATGGAAAAAATGTGGTATTTGTCTGAGTTTAATTATCTGAATTTAATGATCTCTAGTCATGCCCACATTCCTATCAATTTTGTTTTAATTTTTTGTGAATGAAAAATGCCATTGTATACCAGAATTTTCTGTATCCATTCATTTGTTGACATCTTTCTAGGCTATTGTTAATATGCAGAAATCAAATGGATGTGCAAGTATTTTTATTGTATGTTGACTTAGAGCCCTTTAAGCATATATGCAGGTCATATGGTAATTCCAATTTTAGATTTTTGAGGAACTTCCACACTGACTTGCATAATAGCTGGACCAGTTTATATTGCAAGCAGTGTAAGAGTTCCTTTTTGTCCACATCCTTGCCAAATTTGTTACTGTATGTTTTCATGATGATAGGCATTCTGACTGAGGTGAGATAGAATCTCAAATCAGTTTTATATGTATTTATTTCCATGATAGCTAAGGATACCAATATTTTTCTATATATTTATTGTCCATTTACATTTTTGAGAACTGTCTATTAAGTTCATTAGCACATTTATTGATTGGATGATTATTTGATGTTTAATTTTTGAAGTTCTTTATATAGTCTAGATATCAATCTCTTGCCTGATGTATGGTTGGCAAAAATTTTTTTTTATTCTCTCTTTTTACTCTAGTAATTGTTTCCTTTGTGGTGCAAAAGGTTTTACATTACTATTTGTTAATTAGGTGGTTTTATTTCCTGAACTAGAGGTCATTTACAGGGAGCTCTTGCCTATGTCTATATTTTGAAATGCTGTACCTAAGTTTTCCTCTAGCAGTTTCAACATTTCAAGTTTTAATTAAGGGCGCTGAACCATTGTGAAATGGTTTTTGTGGCAGGTGAGAGATGTGAATCTAGTTTCTTTTTTCTACATGTAAATATTCAATTTCTTAGCACTATTTGTTGAAGAGGCTTTTTCCAATATACGTTTTTGAAATCTGTGTTGAAAATGAGGTGGCTATAGCAGTGTGAGTTTATTTCTGGATCTTTAATTATCTTCCATTGATCTAAATGTTTTTATGCTAGTACCATGCTGTTTTTGTTGCTATTGCTCTATAGTATAATTTGTGAGTAGGTAGCATATTTCCAGCAGTGTACTTTCACTTTCTGCTTAGGTTTGCTTTGCCTATTTGAGGCCTTTTGTACTTCCATATGAATTTTGGTATATTTTTCTAGTTCTGTGAAGAATGTTATTGGAATTTTATAGGGTTTACATTGAATCTTTAGGTTGCTTTGGATAACGAGCCATTTTTACAATATTAAATATGCCAGTCCATGAACATGGAAAGTCTTTCCATTTTCTAGTGTCTTTCCAATTTCTTTCCTCAGTGCCTCAAATTTTCAGCAGTTAAGTTTTTCCTAAGTATTTTTCTGAAGCAATTGTGAGTGGGATTTTTTCCTCATTTCTTTTTCAATAAGTTCTATACTGCTATATAAGGAAGTAACTTATTTTTATAAGCTGATTTTATTCAACTTACTTATTTGTGAAAGGGCTTATCAGACCTCAGATTTTTCTATTGAAGTTTTTAGAATCTTCCAAATACAGGATCATATTGTCTTCAAATAGAGATACTTTGACTGATTCATTTCATATTTTTATCCCTTTTATTTCTTTCTTTTGTCATTGCTTTAGCTAAGACTTTGAGCAGTGAGAATGGGCACTCTTATTTCATTCCTGATTTTGGAGAAAAATTTTTCAATTTTTTTCCCCTTTAGTCTGATGTTGATTATTAACTTTTATTATGTATATTCTTTCTATATCATATATTCTTCAGCACTTTTATCAGGAAGTTATGTTGAACATTGTCAAAGGCCTTTTCTGTGTCTTTTGAGATAAATTTCTGTCCTTAAACCTATTTATGTGTTGTATTACATAATGATTTGTGTTGACAAACCAACTTTGCATTCTTGGGATGAAACAAACTTGGTCATGAGGTATAATCTTAGTATGTTCTTTTATTTACTGAACTTTTGTGAATTTCATATAATACATCTCAATCACATTTAGACACCCTTTCCCCTGTCTGTACCCCCCAATAGCCCTCCCACAAGATTTCATGCATTCTGTCATATATATTAAGGCCTATTGAATCAAGTTTGTGTCCCCAGATGTCCCTTAGTGTGAACCCACCCACTGGAGTCTGGTCAAAATATCTAACATCACTTTGTTAAAGAATACCAACTCTCCCTTTCCCAGTAGTCATCGGATGTCAATAGTTCCTCAGTTAAGGTTGGGGTTTCTTACCCATTTCCCCAGTTCTATGCTGAATTTCTGTCTGGTTTGAATTTGCATGGGTCTTGTGCACGCTGTAACCATTGCTGTAAATTCATATGAGTAAGTTCCGAGCCACCTGAAAAACTGTGGTCATCCCACCCCTTGCTCTTACAGTCTTTCTTCCTCATCCTCCACAATAGCCCTTGAGCCCTGGGTGGCAGAGATTTGATATAGATGTCTTACCCAGGGACAAACACTTTACAGCCTCTTATTCTCTGCACTTTGGCCACTTGGGGTTTCTGGGTTAATCACCATCTGTTGCATGAGGAAGCTTCACTGGATGAGAGTTGAGAGATGCATTAATATTCTTTCTTCCCCCTGTTTCACTATGTTCCCTGAACCTTTGAAGTAGAGGTTGCATTGTAGATGTGTCACTTAGGGCTGGACATCGCACAGACACTTAGTCTCTGTGTTTGACCAGTTGAGGAACTCTGTAATTGTCTCCATCTGTTGCAAAAAGAAGCTTTTTTGATGAGTGGTGAAAGGTGACTTGTCTATAAATATAAAGATGCGTATTTAGAATACAGTAAGAGTTTACATTGGTCTAGGGATGTGGCAAAAGTAGGTTTTTCTTTATGATCTATGACCTCTCCAGCCATGTGTTTTGTCTTAGTAGGTTCTTAAATTCAATTTCCAAGTGTTTTATGGAAACTTTTGTGTCCATGTTCATTAGGCAAATGGGCCCATAGTTGTTGTTGTTGTTGTTATTGTGTCTTTTACATGGTTTTGCTATTAAGGTAATATTAGTTTCCCTTTTTATTTTGTGGGGGTTTGAGCAATATTGGTGCTAATTCTTCCTTAAAGGTTTTATAATTTGGCAGTGAATCCATCCAGCCCTAGGCTTTTCTCTGTAGGGAGATATTTTATTAATGGTTCAGTTTTGTGGCTTGCTATGGAGCTGTTTATATTTTCTTTAACTATGGTAGGTCTTTTATATCTAGGAAACCCTTTTCTCATATATTTTCCAGTTCTTTGTAATTACGTTTTCAAAGTATTCTTTAATGATCTGCTGAATTTTATCAGAATCTAATGTAACACCTCTT